GTACAATAATACCCGAATACATTTACTTCACCATAGATAGTAGCAAATGAGTGCCTTTAGAGAGGCGTCTCATTTGTAGAGTTTAAAATGTGTGCATAACACATGGTAGCCCATTACACAAAACTCAATATGAGGAGTGCCAGAGTATTTCTCACACTAGTAAGCAAGTATTTACTGGGTTAGTGTAGCTAGAGGGAGTGGCAGGGGCTTACAGAAGAGGAAGGCCAGCCCTGTGTTTGTGCACCCAAACACATTTTCTAAGTTGGGTGAAGATGTGCGGGTGGCAGACTCAGAGTTGGCAGATGTCACTGCTACCCCTAACAGCCGGGAGGGCAGCACATCTAGTCCGGGTGGTGAGGGTAATGCAGGAAGGCTTAGACAGGTTGTGGCAATAGGGGATTCTATAATTCGGAAGACAGATATAATATATTTTCTCGCCCGGATCGCCTCAACCGGATGGTTTGCTGTCTCCCTGGTGCCAGGGTTCGGCATGTGGTGGACACATTACTGGGAGGGGCTGGGAATGACCCAGCTGTCTTAGTCCATGTTGGGACCATTGACAGAATACATGGAAGATGGAGGATCCTTAAAAATCAATTCAAAAGAACTACTGTAGGTTGCAAGCTGAAGGGAAGGACCTCCAAGGTAATTTCTGGAATATTGCCTGTGCCATGCGCAACACAGGAAAGACAGCGGGAGCTTAGAGAACTAAACACATGGCTGAAGACCTGGTGTAAGAGGGAAGGCTTTGGGTTTCTGGAACACTGGGCTGACTTTTCATTGGGGTGCAATATATATTCTAAAGATGGTCTGCACCTAAATGGAAGGGGTGCTGCTGTGCTGGGGGAGAGGTTTATGGGAGGGTTGGAGTAGTATTTAAACTAGGATTGAGGGGCGAGGGAAAGATGGAATATAATGGGGCAGATATATCAAACAGTGGTCAGACTATAATGCCGAATCTTGGCTTGGTTCTTCACGATTGGGCTTTAAATATTTCTGGCTATGCTCTCTTCCGGAGAAACCGGGTAAAAATTAAAGAGTGGCGGGGTTTGTCTCTATGTGAGAAGTGATCCAAAAGTGAGTTTGAAAGAGGACTTTGTTGATGGTGAGTATGATGGTGCTGAGGTGTTAATGGGTCGAGTTGTATACTGGTATGCATAACGCAAAGGTAATTGTTGGAGTTTGTTACAGGCCCCCCCAATGTTAATGAAGAGATAGAGACTGAGCTCCTTAAACAAATAGAAAGGACTGCAAGGGTGGGGACCGTAGTATTAATGGGAGATTTTAACTATCCATAACCTGTCACCTTAATACAATATCACATAGGAGCTTGTTAGCTCCTATGTAATAGTAATAAAAGTTAAGGGGGAAAAAATTAAAGTCATAAAAAATAAATATTTAAAAATTAAAACCAACCCCACCATTTGCATGAGAATAAACATGCGTGGGTGGGGCATTCATGTGTATGCACCAAACATGTTAGGTATCACCGCGAACGTTGGAGTGAGAGAAATAATTCTCGGGCCATAATTCATGGTTAACGCTAAACTGATGACCTGTACAGGCTTTTAAAACGTCACCTATGGACAATGTTGTGAAGCATAGTTTTTCGCCATTGCTGAGGTGCATGCAATTTTAACACTTGACATGTTTGGTATCTATTTACTCGATGTAACTGCATTTTGTATATTTCACCAAAAATGTGACCATGTGTCACATTGTTATGTCTGATAAAGGGACTGCATCTGGCTCCTGTCAGTCATTACGGTGTCACCCCCTCTGATGGTATCTGTGTGGGCCACACATCCCTTGTGACGCCCCTGCCTGCAATACTGCCCCTAACCCCTGCTAAAGCTCCAAACCCCCACAATACAATTCCATACCCACAATAATGTTTAAAATGTGCATATATATACGTTGCTGAGTAGTGCACAAGTTGTTTTGTGTAATAAATGAAAATGTCTCAGAAATTAATCATTTTTGGGTCACCACTTAATGACCAAGGAAAAATGTGGGTCCCGAGGTTACACAGGTTGAAAACCACTGCACTTATTTAAGCCAGGAGGTTATTATACCAGATAGGCAATTATCATATTCAGTAAAAGATCAGCAATGGCATCTTCCATGTTTCTCTAATGACAGATTTTCTTAGCAAAAAAAAAGCCTGCGAGTACAATTCTGCTTCACATATGTACAGCGAAACGTGCACATGGTAAATTTACCACCGGTGCAGGAAAAAAAAAACTGTTCTTTATAAGTGCCAAATGTTGGTTGACATTGCAAAAATGCCTAAAGACTAATGTTGCATTGAGTTGCAAATTTATATTAATGAAAGAACACGTGTATCATATTTTCTTTGATCCTTGAATCAATATTATGAATATATTCTCTAAGCCAATGGTTCTCAACCTTTCTAGGGCTGGGGCCCCTTGGAAACATTTGCCAAGTTATGGTGACCTCCAACTGTAAAATTTAGAGATGACGCGGCTGCTGCAGCAACATCTGGCTGCGTGGCAGGAGAACTGACACTGCTGCGCTAGGAGAGGGCTGAGGAGGACTCTCACCTAGCACAGCAGAAATGACACAGCGACCCACAGCTTGAGAACCACTGGCGCCGTACGCCGTCAGAATAAAAACAAAAAAAACATATGTCAATCACTGGAAGAGGACCTGATGGGAGAACTTCAGGCCCCCCCTCTGTTGATTGGCAGCAGCAGAGGGCGGTTGCAATAGCTAGTTTGCTATTGCAAAGTGAAATAGCCAATAGGAATCTAGCTATGCATTCCTATGGTGTTTTTTTTTTCTGACTTACGGCGGGCGGCCTGTGGCCCACGATGTCAGAAAAAAGAACCATCGCAGGGAAAGGTTTACTCTGCTCGATCGAGCAGAGCAAACCTTCCAGCAAAAAAAGTGTTTCTCTCCCGGGCGGCCGGGAGCTGCTATCTAATAGCGGGAGACTCCCGTGCCAATCGTCATTCGACCCCCGACGGGGGTCGCGACCCACGGGTTGAGAACCGCTGCTCTAAGCAGTCCTCTTTGGTCTACACTGGGATACTCTGCCATCACTCAATGCAGTGAATAAAACAGACTTTGCATTTGTGATGGCAGTGGAACATTACAGTTGACATACAAAGGCCTGATCTAGAACTTTTTTTTAGGTGACATTCCCTCAACTGTACGAGGCTTCCTTTGTGCAAGATACCGCTGCTTAATCATTAGGATCGGCATTGGCCAGCCTGACGGAGACCATGCATCCTTACTGCCTGCCATATATAGTGGTGAATACTGTTTTTACAAAGTGTAACTAAAGTACTAGAGGTGTCCCGAAATGAAAAAAATGTGTCAGGCTGAAATGCATTTTTTTTCTAACATTCCTAAAATATATGTATTTATTTTTTTCTAAACATTTACATTTTTTAAAATATTTTTATTAAATATTTGTATTTTTATCTTTAGTTTTAGGGGCTTCGGGGAAATATTGGGGGTCTAAACAGACCTCTGATATTGTCCTTTTACAATAGAAAATAAGTAGCGCACTGGACTCTGGGCTTTGTAGCGCACTGGACTCTGGGCTTTGTAGCGCACTGGACTCTGGGCTTTGTAGCGCACTGGACTCTGGGCTTACCTGAGACCTGCAGAGCCCAGCTGAGAGTGACCCTGCAGATCATACCATAGATCCTGCACAGCCCATCCGAGACTCTACGGTGGGCTCTGCTGGGCCTCAGGTGGGCTGGTCGCCGGGTTCCCTTTCCCTGTACCTCCTCCCAACTCCTCTTACCTGCTGCTGCTGGGGCCTGGGCTCCTCAATCCCCTCTCCTGTCACCTCTGCCATGCCACCCCTAGTGCAGCTGATTCTCATGTAAGAGGACCCCCAGGCTGCCCAGACCCCTCACATGGGTACCGGCCGTACCCCACTAATGGCGGTGTTCTATCAAAGTTTGTGACTACATTACAATGTGTGACCGGTGACGTGGTCACACATTTCAATGTAATCCGCCCAGTTTTTTGGCGGTGGAATGTGTGACCGCCAATAGGTCAAGCATTCCAACGCTCTCTGCTGTTCTGATCTGGAACAGCTGATTGGTCCTGAAATGTCACCTCTATCCGACCCTGTGAGTGCAAATCTCACATTCCACCCCACTCACAAAGTCGGATAGAAGTGACATTTCAGGACAGAACAGCTGTTCCAGGACTGAACACCTGGACAGGGAGCCGCAGCAGAGGGATGAAAGAGCCACATGCAGCTCCGGAGCCGCAGGTTGCTGACCCCTGTCCTAGATGGTTCACTTCTCCTGCCTTCTCCAAACTCTTCACCCTTTTGTGAATAGCCCTGTGAATGTTTGTATACCGCTCTCCATCCTAGATCAGCTCTCACAGGAGGCTGAGCGGGCGGTGAATGGAGGCGACGACCTCGGTCTCATTTGACAACCGACTCCTCCTCCTTACAAAAACAGACTGGTGTGAACCCAGCCTTGAATCACATATAGTCATGCGTGGGGGCTTTGTGTGAACCCAGTTCGCCCAAACCTGTGTAAAGCTGTGACTGACTCCCCACCTCCCATCAAAGGGTCAGGGAATGCACCTGCTTCAACTGATTGGGCGAGATGCACATAGGTAAGATAGGTTAGCACCAAACCCTGCACATCACCAATTACACTACTGCAACAAACACCAATTCCAGATACAGTACTATATTTATCTTTTTGATTACAGGAGCACAAAAACAAATGCAGTTTCTTGATGTGACACATTGACAGTGGATAATTGCAAACAAAGAACATCTGCTTTATTTATTTTGAACTTAAACAGCAGTCCACACTGTAACAGCTACTGTTGAAGAATCCTTCGACCCAAGCATATAGCTGCCTCATGCAATTTCTAAGCAAATATGCCATGTGTCGTTCAGTAGGTACAGTGCGGGCTTGTTGCTTTGCACTACTCACATGTCATATATACTATGCTAATTCTTATCCACACTGTTGCTTGCTTGCTTGCTTACCCTGAGTTTGGCAGCATGGTGCCCGTGTATGAGCTCAAACTTCTTCCAAGTCTGCAATAGCTGAGGGAGCTGGTTGCTGCAGTAAGCCTGGGTATCTGGAATATTGAAAAAGGACGAGTCAGTTTTAATGGCATACACTACTGGTGCCCTTTGCTCCACATTTTCAAGTTCACCAGTAACGTCACGACTTAAAGGTCAAAACGTTTGCATTTGTACACAGTAATCAGCATTAAAAGCCAGCACCAACACAGCTGACAGTCAATCGCACAGCAAGTATGCCATACACCTTTGTACCAGATCAGGAAGTCCTCACCATGACCGGTCACCTAATTCCAGATTGACTGACCGAATAATCACACCCACGAGGCTGCTCACAGGGGAACAAGTGTGCTACGTCTCCACCAATGGCTGATCGCCTCACCTAACCTCTTCACATGTGATTGGTAGTGCTCGTGGAGTGAAAACGAGGTTTGGAACGCTTGGAGGGGCGGAACTACTCGCAGCTCTGGTTTGCTGTGGGCGGATGCTATTGCTGTGTGACAGTTCTAATGCGGGCGGTGTATATTGGTTCTAGGCGGAAAACTTAGTTTCAAAGCAAATATATATTATATAAACATTTATAGGTCGATAAGAGAGTGGAAAGTGTTTATGGGTTTATGGCATATTTAGTCAAAGGCGAACTCCGGAATTAGCAGGGAGCTTCCTGTAATAAAGACCTGTCACTGCTGTTCTCTCTCCTTGATTGGTCTTCTCTCCTCCTGTCTCCTGTAGTTTTCCGCAGGCAGCTTGTAGGGCAGGGGTGGTCACCTCCAGCCCTCCAGCTGTGCTTTAACTACAAATCCCAACATGCCTCTGCCTTTGGGAATCATGCCTGGAACTGTCAGTCCTGCAATGCCTCATGGGACTTGAAGCTCCATAACAGCTGGAGGCCTAAAGTTCCCCACCCCTGCTGTAGTGGGTGATCCTGCAGCTTTGCTTTCTGCACAGGCTATGTGGATATTGGGGGATATATTTGAAATAAATATTTGCACCCAGAGTTCATCTTTAAGGGAGCGTGGATTGTTATGAATAATCACTGAGGCTCACCATATGCATTACATTCTGACTATACAAACTCTTTGCAATCAACTTTAGATCTATCAAAACTATGTAATATGAGGACCTACCCAGAGGCGCCCGGGGGCAAGTCTTTCATTAGTTCCCCCCCCCCCCCCCATAAACCAAACCATAGTTCAGTGCTCTGTAGCGCCAGGGCCCGTTTGCACCTGCGACCCTGGTAATTTTGCCACTAACGCCAAGCTGTACAGTAGAGGGTCTACAAATCTCAGCAATTCATTATATAGCAATGCAGACTACCACCAGCTATAGAGGACTACAGATCTCAGCAATACATGATACAGCAATGCAGAATACCACCAGCTATAGAGGACTACAGCTCTCAGCAATACATGATACAGCAATCCAGAATACCACCAGCTATAGAGGACTACAGATCTCAGCAATACATTATACAGCAATGCAGAATACGATTGGATATAGAGAACTGCAAATCCCAGCAATACATTATACAGCAATGCAGAATATCACCAAGCGGTAGAGGGTCTATAAATCCTAGAAATACATTATACAGTAATGCAGAATACCATCAGCTATAGAGGACTACATATGTTAGCAATACAATATACAGCAATGCAGAATATGATTGGCTATAGAGGACTACAAATCCCAGCAATACACATGATAAAGAACCGCAGAATTACAAATCCCAGCAATAAATTACACACCAATGCAGATACAGAGGTCCGAACAGTGATGGTACTACAAGTTACAGCCTCATTCACACCTATATTTTAGGTGCATTTAGGCATTCCTGCATCTGGAACTTGCTATTTCCTGCAGCAGGAATCCCTAACCTGCCGTTTACATGCAGCAGCTGTCACCCATTCATGTTAATGATCGGCTGACAGGTTGACAGCGCTGGCACTCTGTATGTAATGGTATGTGATATGATTACATGCAGTTAGGAATCAATCACTATCCCTGGATGCATCAATCGTGCGTCCAAAGATAGTGGATACGGAGTGCCAGCGTTCTGCCGCTTTCATATGCGGCCGCTGTCACCTGATTATTAACTTGAATGGGTGACAGCTCATAATAGCAAGTTCCTGACACGGGAATCCCTGAAGCCCTTAGGTCAGTGATTGCTCACGTTTTTGTACCCGAGTGCCGAAACTGCAATACAAAATACGTCTCTGTCAGCAAAGGAGCGACTCATGGAGGCAGGTGAGTATTTTCTCTGCAGTGTTTAACAATTCTATCGCTGCTGGCATATTGCAAGTGTGACTTGGACAGGTGACTGCTGTCAGCACACCTAAATATAGAGTGGGACTGGGCTGTCACACTGACAGAGCAGCCCCACTGATTACAACGGCTCTCCCAACGTAATTACCAAGGCTGGGCTGCCAGCTTGACAGCCATTTCCTGTAGTGTACAGGAGACATCCAGCTGGTGCCAGGAGAGGATCCTGCAACAGCTGTGCCCCACATCATAGACAAAGGCAGATGTGGGAACCTCTCCTCCCAGCTTGGTCTACAGGAGCAGAAAATAGGGGGAATAAAGGATGTGGTGCAAGCAAGTGTTTCGGGAGGGCAGGAGGTTCAAAGAGGGTACCAGCCTGAAGTAATTCATATATCTAATAAAATAACATGACTATATATAATAAGTAGAATACTTGCTTTATTTTCCCCTACAACTAAAATATACTTGTTCACTGCTGCCAACAGCCAGTGTAGCTTTGTATTCAGAAGCTGACATCTAGCACTGCTAGTGCCTATCCCTAAGGAGCAGGGTCCAAAAGACAGTCAGCCATGTGCTGAGTGCAGGTGAGTAAGGATTAGAGCCAGAGATGTGTGTGGGAGAAGCAAGCAGCAGAGAAAATGCAGTAACCCTCTTCACTCTGGTAGCAGCATCGCTGAGGGAGGATTAGTAGCCAGCACTACACTTGATGTCACATCATTCAGACATCCACAGTGGCGGAATGACTGTCCTGGACCAAGGGGAGATAGAACGGGTGAAGGCTTGCGGTTTAGGAAATGCATAAAGGACCATTTACACCTTTATTTCAGTTTACACTAGGGGTATATATGAGTACTTTCAATAGCTGGAAACATTCATTATTACTGAATTACATTTTTTAGCTTGTTGGAAAAAATATGTGCAATCTGGCCAAATACACCTGCACAACTTTAATACAGTATGCAAGTTACATGAGTAACAGTGGCATAATCCAACACCACAGTAGATGGGCAGATATGTTTCTGCTCATCATTCTCAGAGATCTACCTGTCTTTGCTTTGACTTTTTTCCACCCGCAGTATTAAAAAATGTTTCTATATGTATATATATATATACAGTATATATATATTCCTCTGCATTGATAAGGCAATTTATTTGTATTCCTCTACAGATCAATTCGCCTTTGCAAAGCAGTTGTAGAATAATCTGCTCCTCAAAATATCCATTTACCATGCAGGCACATAGAAAAATCAATTCCAGTTGAATATTTTATGAATAATAACATCCATTACTAGGAGGTCGTCACACAGACTATAAATATAGACTTCATTGTGAGAAATGTGTTTTTTAATTTCCTCTGGGAAGGTCTTGGCCGTGCCAAACATTTATCTGATGCTTTCCAAGGTTTGCCACATCTGTATTTTAACTGTGGCGTCGTCCTCACTCCTTGGGGAAGTAAGACAGTTTTTGTCTTTACAAAGCTTTTAGTGAGCACATCCCTGAACTGCTACATTGATTGGTCTTTTACAGCTAATCAGCTCCGGGTAGGAGATATATAAAAAGCTACTAAATGGTATTAATGATTAAAGGAAACCTTTACTGAAAGAAATATGTTGGTTGCTATTGCTGACTTCATTCTGAAAGGGCATGTTGCCTGGCTGTCTCTGGCTTTAATACTTTATCAGTCCTGGAACAAGCATCAAGCAAGTAAAATCACAGTGAAGTCACTATTCCTGATCTGCATAATTGATTTGGGAGTGACTGAAAAAATGTCAAATACATTGGTTCAGTAACATATCCAAAACATATGTATAATTTTCAAAAGGAGGGTTAATTTTAAGAGTTGGGTTAAGAGTAAGGTCCCTAATTAAACATCCGGGTTTGAAATTAAAGTGGACCTAAACTCAAAAAGGTAAGAGTTTGCTATGTTCTAGGCAACATCTAGAATTGTTAATTGTGAAAAAAATGACCTTTTGTCTGGAATTCCACCTTAAATATTGCAATGTGCTTTCTGGTATGTGAGGGTATCTAGGCATTCCTGTAGCTGTATGTATATTTGTAGTGTGAGATCTAAGGCACTGCTGCCTCTGATTGTTAGTTTTAGGAGATGTTGAGAGAGATTTGATGTCACTTTTGTGCTGCTCACTGTTCTTGCTAGAAGCACTGACATTATTAAGGAAAACCCTGCCAATGCCAAAATGGTCACCTCCATAAAGAGACACAGAACAAGGCATGGTAAGTCAGTAAAAAGATCAGCTGTAGAAAGACCACAGGCGACAATGGTGACTAAAACTTTGTCTTCTGGCTGTCTTGTTTTGGGCACAAATTCTAGGGTCCACTCCACTTCCTCTTTAAGGCTGAACTCCAGGATAAGCAATTTTTGCTTAATATAAGAGTCATATGTATTTTCACTTGAATCTAGGCGTGCTATGTGTATTTCCTCCAGATCTTTGCAGTAATCCAGTGTGAAACCTTGCCTCTGTGCTTTCTGCAATAAAGTCCAATGGATTTTCCACCGTACTCCTTACTGGTATACCCCTTGGGGATTGGTGCTGAGGTGACTGCGGATGGCGTCGCTCATGTCTAAGTAGACACAATGGGGGGAATTTATAAAAACTGGAGCAGACAGAATCTTGAGCAGTTGTCCATAGTAACCAATTAGCTTCTATCTTCAGTTTGTTCACTTAAGCTTTGAAAATAAAAGATAAAAGCTGATTGCTTGCCATGCACAGCTGCTCCAGATTCTGTGTGCTCCAGTTTTGATAAATTTGCCTCAGTATGTCACCAGCACACCAGAATCAAGTGTCCTCTTTATTGATGCATTGTACATTTTGTCACAGGAAAGGCAACATTTTGGGCCCACTTTGGGTTACTTCATCAGGCACAAAAAGACCAACACAAAGTGAATTTATATGTTTTGTGGTTATTGAGGAATACATTTTGATTCATTTTTGTGCCCAGATTTCAGCGTAAAGATAGGTTGAGGTTTAGGGTTATGTGTAAAGGTTAGGTTATTGGTTAGGAGTACATTATAGGGTCAGAATACTTTTTCACATATTTTTGGAACATTGGGCTTCTCCAGGGAGTCCAGAAACACAAAAAATACTTCAGGA